AGGGAGGGTGTGGGGTTCTGTTATTATTACATATGTTCCATATTTTATTATTTCATATTAAAGAAAGAACGTGCAACAAATCGATATGGAATTTAGGTCCTAGCAACGCGTGTCAGTGTAGAACGCGTGTCACTGTCTGTGTGGAGATAAAATAATCATATGTCTAATCTGAATCAATGTTCGAATAAATTACACGTGGACGTTTAGTTGGGGCCACGAGAGATCCAGAACTTGAACTGGACGACTATGATACACAGTTTATGTTGAAGTTAAAAGTTCCTCCACAGAATTGTGCATTGGCAAACATGCCGTGCAACTACGGTACTCCACTTACGGTATGACTTTCGTCGACAGCAGTCGTCCCTGAGCTACAACTTCATTTGTGATGTTGCTTGCTGATCGTGGATTGAATGAGTCCTGGTTACCGGTTAAAATGTTGCTCATTTGGCATTAATAATCTTTATTTGGAACTCAGTAACGCTGCAACGTCGCCAGCAGAAACCTCCTGTTATCTCGATGTTGACGTTGCGGCTCTATAGTAATCGCTGTTTTTACTGCGGGTGGGTCTTTCGAGAGCCCTTCAAGATTTATATAACTCCAGGTGATCAACATACATTAAGTTCTCCCAATCGTAGTATTCCATGTGAAGTACACCAGACATGCCAAAAAAGTTGCTGAACGATTTGAACCAGATAAAAACAGCAGACGAAAAAGGTGTACAAAATGAAAATAGTTCTGTTGCCAATGGAAATACCATGTTCATTTGCATATAGACCGTGAAAATATCGAAAACATTTATTGCATGGATGATATGCAAATTAGTTTGAGTCAAAATAAGTGACTGCCTAAAAGTACCATTACTGTTGTTCAAATTTTATTTCACTCGGCAAGTATATTCATGTACCCCAAGGGGAAAATATCGTACTTCTAAATATTGTTTATTTAGAAAAACAGTACTCCTGAAGGAACTACTTTGTTTGCTCTCAGACCTCATTTGCATATGGGTTGTGGAAATACCGATTTTGATTTCAGGGACGATTCAAAATAAACTGCAGTACATATGTAATAATGTCCATTATCATATACCTTGTATTGCCCGACCTTGTATGTTGTGAGAAGTATGCCCTTACGTCAGGGCAATATTTTCCTGTATCACGCCTGCCTGGCTCAGCATGCCCGGCTTTCATCATTCAAAAAAAACCGCGTCATTCTAAATTACATCGTGTGTTTAAGGTAACGCCATGGTAAAATGTAATTACACCTATAATGTATATGATAAAAACTTTATGGACTGGATACGGCTTTTGCTGTCCGAGGCCGTACGGCTTACGTGCCCTCGCAAGCTTAGGCTCTTCTGCTGCACAAACTTGAGCCGTATCCATTCCATAGAGAATAATGTAAGATACACACGTAATTGTAATCTGATCTTTTATTACTATTCAGGATGTTAGTCAGATTGCCAGTAGTGATGATCTACACAGGTATACATTATTAGACATTCAGAGTCCGACTGATTTAATTGTATGCAGTGAAAGTGAAGAGGTGTTTAAAAAAGAATGTAAAGAATTATTAAGAATTCAATCTGAGTAAGTACATCATACTTGTATACCATTTTGTTGACACAATTATAATTGTGACATTGTGTCTCCCAGGACACTTCCAAGGTAAAGTCTTTACTTGTTGAACTAAATTGGTCTAAACAAGAAATGTCAAACTTTATTTACAAATTTTGCGTCTATTCCATTTTATTCCAGTGCTGTCCACTGTCCAGTAAGCCTCAATGTTTGAAGATAAATAAAGAGTGAAAAATAGCTCTCCTAAAAATCACTAAGACAAGTTATGGAAGTGATTTTAATGTTTTGAGAACAATTAATTTGCATGTGTAAAACTGGAAAAAAGAAATGAAAGTTCTTCTGTGTGTGTGTGTCTGTTTCTCTGATATCTCAAGAACCAATTATCTATCAGATTTTACTGTAACTTGCATATTAATTAGTCAATTTTAAGCCTTTTCACTTTTTGTTCATGAACTATTCATGCACTGACCTGATTTGTTTGTGGTTGAAATCTGTGCATATCAATTACCAAATTTGCATATTAATTAGCTAGTTTTAAGCACTTTCACAGGTTTCTCAAGTACCATTCAAAAGCTTTAATGAAACATGTTTCATAGATATGGTCAAAATAAGACATACGCTTATTCAATTATTTTGCATGCAATAAACACAGTTTTTGCTTTATGTGTAATGAAGACGTGCTTCTAATATGGTAAATACAGTATTTCTTTTTTGTATTTCATGTTTTTAATATCTGCAGCACACAGAAGTTCTTTCTAAGCTTTCTATTCTATTCTATTCTATTCACATATTATATTCTAGTTTAGACTTGTCACATATTTTTGGCAAACAAATGTTACAACATATTTTCCCTATTATTGAGTAAATCTTTATTTATACGCAGGTACCCAGCTGAAATGTACAGAAATATCTCTGGTCAGGTTCAGTTGCTAAGCAATGAAGTTGCTGTTAAATGTGCAAGACAAAAACTACACTCATTACAACAGAGCCCATATACTGTTAATGAGAGCGAACTCAGGTAAACTCCATGCATTTCTCTTTTAGAGTGGATCTCATTTTTTCTCTCCCTCTTTTCTGTTTGTCGGTCAATTTCTCTTTTGCCAAAAAAAAAATATTTTTTTTGTCATGTGATGTTCTTTGATTTTTACTAAATTTAATTTAGTTATCTCAGCTGAAATAGAAATTGTGACTTGAAAAACTATGTCATTGCTCACGAAGTCTATTAAAACATAATCACAATTTTTTTTTACTTTTACCATATGGCTCTATATTATGCTGTTGCTCACTAAATTCAAATAAAAAACTGATCACCAAACTACTTTTTATTTTTTTTATTTATTTTTTATTTTTATTTTTATTTTTTTGAGCTATTATCATTTCTTTGTGTTATAAAAATAGTTTTTTCATATCTCAAAAATGTATTTATTAGATGGGTATTTATGCTTGTCCTGAATTATTGTGAAATTCTGATGCATATTGTTTGTGTTTTTAAAAAAAAGTCCTTCAGATAAGAACTCTATATAATGAATATTCCCTGCTATAGTACATACATAATTGCAGCAATATGGGATGGTGCAGGCGCAGTAGTCTTTATGTATATGTATATGCCTTATATTTTCTTTGCAGACAACAACTACATAGCGCCAAGTCTAAGCTACAGAATGTCAAACGAACATCGGTTATTTTATATGAGTCGCAATTACCAAAGATGGTGAAAGCTGTTGGTGAAGTTCAAAAGGTTAAAATGCTGACTGGTGATTACGATTTGAAGATAGCAAGACAAGATTATTTTACTTCTAAACAAGAGCAGGTTGGTAACCGTAAGAGAACACAAGAGAATACGCTGTGCTTATTTCTTGTTGTTGTTTGTTCAAGAGAATGAGTTCTATGCTTGGACACTGTTGTCAACAACCCAAACAAAATTTTCTAGTCATTCATCCATCCTACATTTATGTATGTGCCTCTGATTTCATTAACCATATGTGCACTTGATCAAACTTGAGTGCCCTGTAGTGGTTGGTTAAGAAGTGGTTAAGGGGGCCATACATCTGTTGTCTTTTTGTCAAGGTAGTTTTGCAAAGGATTATGGGTGATGGCAGGTACTGTGTTGTTGATTTCAAGACCTAAAAGAGATGATACTCCTCGTCAATAAATGTGAGGGTTCAAGTCTCGCCACTGGCAGCAGGGTTTCTCATCAGAGTAGGAAACTTCAACGATTTTCTCGTCTAATAATGTTCCTCTCACTGTAGTTATCACACAAAATAACGACTCAAAAAGTGCCATTAAGAATCCAATCTCATTGTCAAGTAAATAAAAACATTTTCAAAATCCAAAGCTTAAGGTTGCAAAATCTAAATGCTAACTAAGAGAACTAACTGTTGCAGTGATCTTTCCCAATTAGGTTATACGACAGATGAATGTGCAAAGAGCAAGAACAGAATTTTTGACGATGGCGTTCGAAGTGGAGAAGAGAAAGCACCGACAAACACACCAACTATTGACTGGCATTTCAGGATTTCTGGAGAAATGGAATAAATCATTGCAATCCAGAATGGTATCCTTGATATAATTGGTCCATATAATCTGTATAAATATAATTGCCATATTTTTGTTTTAAATTACATCATACATGCACACTATATTTGTGTTGATATCTTGCAGTCATTCACCGTAAACACAAAAGCAGCGTTACAATAAAAGAAACAAAATTAAAATTTATATGTAGATCTGTAGCTATTGCTACTTTAATTAACTTGTACTCCCATGATGCATCTTACTTATGTCAATACCAGAGGAGTTAGCTTGCTGTTTAAGAAATACAAGCGGAATGTTTTACTTTAAGTGGGAGGGTTGTCACCTGTGCATGCAATTGAGTCCCACTTGACGATAACAACTCACGCTAAAAACACAGAGGCTCATGGGTAGACATTTGTTTGTAAACAATGACACGCTATGGATGTGCTGGTGATGACTCCCTCGCTTTAAAGTGCCCGTAGCTATGTGTTCGATGTGGGTTGCATGCAACATACCCAGTATGTGTAAATTACGTTGTTCACACATAATTGGAATACGCACTGTGTGGTAACTGACATCTGTTTTGCATTTATTTAAATATTCTGAAAAAGGATATCAACACAGTAAAGATTATTCTTATTATCATAGTAAGATGTACCATAGTGGGAGAGGGGGAGGTAGTACTAGCATAATGATGGTGTTTGGTTTTTATTATTGAGGTGCATGTAATGACAGCTTTAAATCTAAATTTTTAAGGTGCAACCAGTTTCCAACGAGAAAGCATCATTAGAGTATTAAAGCTGTCAATTACGGGATTGCACCATGGAATCATGGGACAGAAGCCACTTTACTTTTGTTTGCACTATTAATATGTCTGGAGTTTTCCAATGTAAATTAAATCCTGTAAGGCACTTTGCTGTCAGGTCAGGCTTATCTTGAGTTGCCCTTTATTATTCTAAGTATAATATGTGTTGTTCGTTTCCTTACAATTATTTTGCCAGACAATGTTGTCAGAGCCGTGTTTGTTACCTGCCAAGACAGCGAGACAAATCATAGATTCCAGAGATAAATTTATTATTAGATTACATAATATATTAGGTACGTACTGAAAGGGTGGGTGATATTGTCCTCAGTGGAGATCTGAAGCTTTTAGTACTCGTCTATTATAGCATTTTTCACTATGCATTGATGGTACAGGGTCTAAGTATCAATTTTGTTTTTTACCTAAATGTGCTAAATTAAAAATATGCAAATATACCAAATTTGGTAAATTAGAAATGATGAGACCTTGATGCATTTTTCCTCCAAGTGAGATTCAAAATAGCTGGTGGTGATTTTGTTTTGACGAATACTGTTCTAGGGCAAAATTTCTGACAACGATAGTTGAGTGTCAGTCATAATATATAAACATAGTACATTCTAACGTCGCACCATTTTCAATTAACACATTTAAATATTAAAGTCATTGGTTTTTTTTCAATATTTGCTCCATCACCAACATGGAACACATCTAGATTATTTATGTCTCATGTAAACACTTTTTTTGTTTATCTAACAACGACAACAGCTTAGCATGTGATGGAAATAGAACGCCATCACCGTACCGAAACCGCCATGCCGACACAAAACTTGTAACACGTGGTATGATAACATATTCACCCATCCGAATACTGTTTCCTTTTTATATTTTAGTAGACACTCCAGACTCCTCATTCAGGGAGCATAAACCAATGTTCCAGAAATATGAAACGCTTGTTGATGGAGCCGAGAAAATCGTTAGTCAGCTATCAACATTGGCGCTTAACACGTATAGTAATGATGATGTGCTGACCTTGTTGTAAGTTTCAGTATATTTCACATTGCAATATTTGGGGATGATTTAGTTTTGTTTAACGCTAAAATAGTTGTGAACAATATATTTTCATGACAATTTTTGTTTTTCTTTCTGTGGTACCAGTTATTTTTGTGGTGAATGTTACTTGCATGTACTGGATTTCTGGAAGTAAAATCCCAAAACAGCTCAAAAATAGAATCCTCCCTGTGGGATAATTTTTCGTGTGTACATGTAAATTTCCGTATGCAGCATGTCATTTATTTTTTCTTATTTTATTTTTTTTCTTTGGATGGAAAAATATTCGAAAAAATGTATTTTTGTTGATTTATGATTTCATATCAGTGTTCTCCATGAGGGGTTTAAGAGGGGCGCAGCGCCCCTCTTTAATTTATTTGCGCCCCTATTCAATTTGTAGCGCCCCTCTATTTATCTTCAGCGCCCTCCTTAGTTTTCGGTGGACAGCTGTTTTACCAGTCCCCGAAGATGTCCCGACGACGTTATTGAGAGACCTCTTATTAATTGACAGGCGATAAAACAAAGAACTAAGAGACAGATAGTGGCATAGGTGACAACTAGGACAATGGATTGGGTGTCTGGGGAAACACTGGCTGAATAAATAAACAAAAAACAATGGCTAGAGGCGTGAAGTGATTGTCACAAGCATTGCGTTTAATAATCACGCAATGGGAGAGTCAAAACAAGCTCTTCATCTTTCCTGAATTAGCTGAGATACTTAAGAACAGAAGAACCAACAACAATTTATTGGTCAAATTGCTTGTTACTTGCCTTTTGTTGGCGAAAAGTAAAAAAAATCATCAAAAGAATCGCCAAAACGTACGGTAAACACTGAAACAACATGGATGACACGGTATCTGATTTGACCTTTGTCCTCAGTTCTCATAAGGCAATCAATATAATGATCAATTTATTTACAGTCAATGGATTCGATTTTTTCTTATAAATGGTGATTTTGTTATGTGAAAATATTTTTCTTATTATTACTTGAGTTTTTCAACTATTACAATATGTCAGTGCATTTATAAAACTTATGAAAATGAAAACACTTGAAAGAAATTTAAAAGTAATGAATGAAAGGCTAGAATTTCACAACTTGTTCCATTACAGAGAATAAAATGGATATTCTTCATCTGTCAAAGTTGATATTTTTTTTTTACATCAAGTGGTTTAACTTATTCATCAAAATAATTCAAGAACATTAATATAGTACTTGTACACAGTATTTGAGGTTAATGTAAATACATGTATAAAAGTGATATGAATTTTCTTTGAAATGTTTGATTGGTATGCTAATTATATGCAAATAAGACATGCTAATTATATGCAAATTAGCGCCCCTCTTTAAATTTTATTTGTGGAGAACACTGCATATAAAATTAACTTCATGTGATAACAATTAATTACACTCATTGAAATTATGAAGAGAGTTACTATTTGATTAACTGGCACTGCAACTTTTATTGGATCTCTTTCTGAGCTATGCTTACGATTCGTGAACACATTTTGTGTCTCCCTGTTTGTACTATATATTACCAGTAAAAATAGAATGCTTAAACGTGGGTGTATGAAGAAGGAAAGATGATGTCTGATTTCAGTATGCAAAACACACTCTATGAGGATGCATCTATTGGGTAGCCTAACGTGTTCGGAAATATTTATTATGCATTTACTGTTCAACATCAATATGAGATGTGTTACCACGTCCAGCAACGTTTGATACATTTCCCTTTATGCACTGGTGTGATCCCAAGGCTTGCCGAGCCACAGTTTAATTCTACAATTTTACTTACTATCTCAACAGTGAGAAAGGTTTACACAAATGCGAAGAAGTGCTGTATTGTGGTTCCTCCACCAAGGGAGGCTCCCCACAGTTGAGTCCACCAGACATTGGTAAATACATTAGTAATCTCAACCAAATGTTGGATCTACTGGAGGAAACACTTCTGGATATCATGGCATCTGTAAACTCCAAGAAAAAAGTGAGTACTGAATATATTTGTGTCATTTACAGCGGAATTCAATTCAAATATGGAAATTACTGTAAAAGATTAATTATTCACTGAGTTTTAATTTTGCCTTTTTCACTGACTGGAAAATGCGCTAAATTTAAAACCCAGTGAATATGTAAAATTTAGCATAGAACACATTATCTAAATGATAAAACCGTGAATTTAAAACCCACTCAATATGCCTGAAAAGGTAAATCAGCGAAAATTTAAACCCAGTGAATATTAGTCATTTTACAGTAGTTGCCAATTGGGACAACCATGAAAAAATATTCTGAAAAATAATTACAATACAGTACAATGTAGCGTGATTTTTGTTGAAAAAAATTGTTTTAATTCTTTTTGGTACTTTGGGTGGTGGACCTTCATTTGATTTGTTCATTTTGTGGCAATATCTCTATTTTACAAATGTTTGTGGTAAAAAGTGTATAAAATTTACATTGCAATTGTAACAGTAATGCGTTTAATCATAATGGCCAGTGAGCGACTTTCCAGTGACACCACTGTTTATATCTCCGGACACAGTATTACATCTAATAAGTAAACTACAAATTGACAAGTAATCTATATATATATATATGTACAAGTACATGTACAATATACAATGTATACCGTATAATAAAGGACATCGCAACCTGCCTGAAGAGGGCAGTATTCGGGCACGATGAATATGTAATGGCTTTTAAATCATTACAGTCCAGATACAGATGCATATTGTAAAACCTGTGTATTCAATCAAATGTGTATATTTTCTGTTTCACAGACTTTACAGACCAGTCCATTTCTGGTTTCTGAGCGTGGTCTCTTCGTTCATTTCTTCACTGATGCTGCCAAGTTGAGAAAAATATTTTCTGATCTTTATGCCAGATTAGAAGCTAAACGTGTCTCGTAATATCATTTGACAGAGATGTGTCTATGGTCAAAACGAGTCTTATATGTAATGATAATATCTGTATACCAGTATATTGCCTTTCCAGTTCTGACATGTACATGTATATATATATTTCTATTTACTCACTCTTGTATTTACATTTCGATATTATAAGGTCATTGATTTACGAACGTTAGGACTCCTGACTCGAGTAGTCAGGCATTTCTGTCAAGTTCATTTCCACCATGCCTGCTGTGTTTAATACTTTGTATCTGCTGTTGACTTGGCATCGAAATAAATCTTACCTTGTTCACATTTACAGTGATTATTTGTGTGTTTTCTCTCACCTACATCCATCCAAAAGTTTACGACGTGGCAAAATCGCGATACTTTCGTGTTTTTTTCACATTCAATTTCTTAAACAATTTATAAGCATTCAGTACGATCATCATCAGCACATCCATCTTAAGTTCATCTACGTAACAGATTTCATTGAAATGGGATGATTATGCAATTTAGTTGGTTATCATGGGTATATTTAAACTCAAAACTAATTTGGCAGTCACATTGTTATAGAGCATTTATGTACCAAAATTCATTGAAATTAGATGATTGGTACTTGATATGAAAATGACGAAAATTTACTAATTATTATGCAAATTATGTAATTATGCACAGATTTGTATCACCAAGTCTGTCCATTGTCCTAGAGCATTTATGTACAAAGTTTCATTGATATCTAACCAGCAGTTCTTGAGATATCCGTGGAATGGTCATACATACTTGCACACACAGCAAAGACCATTGAGTGCTTTGCACAAAGGAGTCAACGAGAAAAGTCGCATTACACTATATCAGCACTGTTTTGTCAAAGTCTCAAGTGGCACATCAAAATGCCATAGCAGGAACGTGAATACCATGTTATGGTGACAGATTTTAATATACACTATTTAGGGGACATGCTGCACTAGAGCATGTCAAAATGACAACTCATTTCATATTAAAGTTATACTTTTATCTTGTGATGTTTACTACATATTTAAGTTTGCGAGTAATTCAGGTTCAGATAAGAAATTCAACTGGTAAATTTATTAGTATTTTGATTGAAAATAGAACTCAATTTATGTTGACTTACACTTAATAAAAGGTAAAGTTTCACAGATAGATGCATGTACATATAGAAAGTTTCAAGAAAATTGGTCAGAGGGTTTTCAAGCTACATGTTGGTGGGTTTGCGCAAGTGGAGAACCACGACTTGTGATGTACATGTGGAAAGCCTGGTGTATGCAAGCTGGTTGTTAGCACTGGTATCGTTAAGAGCACGTCTCACATTAATTCTCTAGACCCTGCCGGGTACTTTTCAACATATGGACTAACTGGCACATGTACGTGGGCTGTTTGTATAAGTGTACGACTATGACTTGTGGTACCCTTCAAGGAAATCAGCCTGTAATTTAGGACTCAATGTGGCGTGAGAGACGGATGTAAGCTGGGTGTTTGTCCTTGAAGTGCAAGCATATGACTGACAATTTCAAGGGGAATCTGTAAGCAAGCCTGTATGTTTTTAATATAGAAATAATGCTCATCACCACTATGTTTCCCTTGTCTGCAACATGTGCCAGATGGGGAGAGGGGGGTAATAATTCTCAAAGCAGTTGATATTGTAGTTTATATTATTACAGGGTTGACAAACAACTTTATTTAACAATTCCATCACAACATATCTTTGTACATATTTTTTCTTCAAAAAATTCTTTTCCAAATTTCCAATAAATAATAAATTAAATTCTTTTGAAAATACTTCAATATTATTATTATTTTGTGGCTGCAAGATTGTGAAGTATAACACCAGCTATGCCCACAGGAGAAATAAAATTGTTATAACTAACTAGCATTTAAGCGAGTCTTAATTCTATAAAAAGTTTAAAATTTTGTATGTACATTTCAGAACTAAGTACAGAGAGACAAGTCAAAGGAATCATAAATTTAAGGCCTAAGACCATGTATTTCCACTAAAATAAAAAAAAAATTACAGTACATTCAGAACCTGTTCACAAATGTATATAGGACATTGGTATTCAGACACAACCACAATGGAATAAATGGAACAAAAAAATAGCACAAAGATTTTGCTTTACAAGTACAGATTTTGACAATTCAGGGAATGGACTTCTAAAACTATTTCACATGTCTGAAATAAGGGAAACATTTCCCTATGACATGTATTTTATTGCTATCAATTTTGGTTTAAAACCACTCGCAGTGACTCAAGTTCACTTCCTGGTAGTGAGAATGGTACCTCATAACATTCTTGACAATTATATGAAATGAGAATTCAACCCTAAACTTGAATATATACAGAAATGATAAAGTAGTGAAGTAATTGAAAGCAGACTAAGTAGGTCGATGAAGCTGAATTTGCTTAACATATTAACATGCAAAACACTTACAAATGCATATGGTACATTACTGATTTAACTCCATAAGTCCAGCAAAGAAAACACGAATAATTTCACAGATCATGTCACATCTGTATCATGGATGTCCTGAAAAACTTTTTTACACAAATTTCACCCAATATATCAATTTACATCAAAACAATGCATGCATGTTTAATTAATTTGGCATAAAAATTAAGTTTTAGTTAATGGATATTGCACAAGGAATGCCAATATTTATCTAAACGTTTCCCCAACTGTATTCACATTATATACTATTTTTGTACTTTCTGCCTGTAATGAAAACAAAATCACCCACTGAAGTTAACTCTAGAGGGCAGTTTTAGTGCAATGCAAAATAACATTGGTTATGAAACTTTGACTTGCAGTTATTTTTAAAACTCCCGAAACAAATTTTAAATGCATCTTCAGTTTTAAAAAAAATCACATTACAATGCAAAAAATTCTTGTAACTTTCATTCCACTATAACATTTTATGTATTTAATTTAATTCACAGTAATAAGGGAAGAGTACTGCCATAGCTACATAATGGTTTGGCATACAGTGTGCACTACATAATATAATACAAACTGTATTAGAAGTACATATAAACCAATAATTGCATTTATTGTATGCACCTCTATAGTTTACATAAGTGCATGCATTATTACAATGGAGAAGATATGATAACTGGCTTACTGTTAATCTGGTACCTTACCAAAACCCTTATTACACGGTTTCCTTGCAAAAGATCAAAACTCAACTTTGCTTTTTTTAAGGCTGAGAAACAGACTAAGAAATGTGAAAAATCATTTAGTGAGTCTCAAAAAGGTTCCTGGATTTGGTTAATTGAAACAAATAATAACTTGTCCACCTCTAAGCATATAGATCAAATTATGACATTGAGTTTATTTTGACTTTACATTCAATAAGCAATATTTTCTTTTTAAAATAACTTTGCAAGTAAAACAGGTCTTAAATAAACAAAAGGTTTGTCTTAAAAAGTCTATGAACAGGTCAGAAATTTAATGACCCACCAGGATAGACTTTTTTGCCCAAATCTTCACTAAAACAATTGGACGAATTGCAGTGCTTGATTCCAGAGTCCCTGAATTTATGATAAATGAATGCCTCTATGTAATCTGTAATCAAACCCCAGCTCAATTCCAGTTCAAGCCAACACAGGAATTTATTCAACTACACAGTATAAAGCAATATCAATTCTAAAATACTACATCAGCCTCAGGATAATACTTTTTCCACAAATTTCAAATTTAAGACATCGTACAGCATGCCACTGGTATACATGATATCAAATATATCAAGACATGATTGTCATGCTAACAAAACAAACTGATTGAGGGCAGTATCTTCATTCCTGCCTCTAGCAATTACACATTGGAATAGATTTTGTAATTTGTTTATTTACATCAGACACCACTGATGAAATATGGGATGTTAACAGGTAATTTAAAAAATAAAATAAAAAAAACATGTGGAAAAATGTACAACTTCCCTTTTCAACAGAGAGTTACTTGCACCTTAATCAACACCTGATAAGTTGACCAATTAGTGACTAGCATTACAGCAAATATGCTAATTTACACCTGTAAAAGAACACCTAGGTCTCTATGAAAATGTAATATGGCATGAATTAAACAGAGGGCCTCCTCATTGTGTGACTTGTTATTAATAGAGCGCCTTCATGCCACTTTCTTCAAACTCTGTCCAAGCGTCATTGAGTTCCATGAATATAAGTTTTGCCAAATCCTCTTTGTCCGTACCAGCGTGTTTATCTGGATGTATGGCTAAGGCAGCTTTACGGTAAAACTTCTTAACCTAGGAGAAAAAATAAATGGTATCATGTTAGTAAAATTGTTCTTCAATGAAGGGAAACACGCTTTACCAATTGATCAAGGCATTTCTGAGAAATGCACAATCAGACAGAAGCAAATATGAAGGCTGAGTCTGCTGAAGGCTGATCAAAAAATGTTGAATCTTCTTAAAGTTAATTACTATGATTATAATTAATAACAAAACAGCAAGAACATTTTATAAAGTTCTGACTGTCTGACACTTGTCCTGAACAAGTGCATGCAAAGTGGTGACAAGTCCCATCCTTCTTTAAAGGGCGGTGGTTTTTGTGCCACGAATGTATGAGATATGGGTCTCAAATAAACAAAGATGGCGACTTTGACCCCCTACTACCTTCCATGCGTAGTCCAACAAGTACAAACTGAGATGTTATCAAGCTTTAACTAGGTAATCTCATTAGTAATTGGAAGGTATCAAAAAGATCACTGGTGGTAATTAGTGTATGTTATGTCCAGGTCAACCCGTATACCACTGATTTAAATAGAAGAGTGCATTGGATTGTGGGAAAATCAATGTTTATCAACACAAATTTCATACGTACACAACGTGACGACTACTTTAACGAGCTAAAACAGTGGCTCATGGCCACCATTACAACAATGCTCAACACATCCTGGTACTATAAACAGTTAGAAATAATTGCTACTGGTAATGCTTATTATTCTAGTAATTATTATAAAAATTGCACTACCCTTATAAAGTACCATGACGTGTGACCTTTGTAGGTCAGAGTACCAGGATGTGTGACTTTGAGGAGTTGTAACATCAGACTTATTCATAATATTCAGATTATCGATGGTTGAACCACTCGCACAAAACACTGAATACAG